TCACCCATAGTAAAAATGTTTCCACAATGACAAATGGATGATGTTCAAATTAAATGTTAAAATAAATTATGTGAGATTAATGGCAAGAAATCCATCACATGTTTTGTTACTTTAAAACCAAAAGCTGGGGCACCTGGGTGGCTCAATCAGTTAAGCATCTGCCTTTGGCTCAGGTCAAGATCAGAGTCCTGGGATCAAGCCCCACACTGGGCTCCCTGCTCAGCAGGGAATTTGCTTGTCCCTCTCCCTCTGCTCACTCTCTCTCTCTCTTTTTCTCTTTCTCTTTCTCTCTGGTACTCTCTCAAACAAATAAAATAAAAAAAAAATAAAATAAAATAAAATCAATAGCTACTACCACCTTTCATTATCAATACCTTTGCCTTTAGCAATGGCTCCTTCCTCCTCATAATAAGAGCCTAGGCTTATTGAACATATACAGGTGACAGAGTTGTCTTATGCACTTTGTATAAATGCATTATTGATTTATTCTTGATAATATTGTAAGGTAGAGATCATTATGAAGCCTATTTTGTAAATTAGAAAATTAAAAAAGAAAAGAAAGCATATGTTAATTGTTCAAGTTTCCAAGACATATAAGTAGCAGAGTCAAAATTCAACTCTGTTTCTATTTGAAACTGCAATCCAAGCTCTTATCTGCTAAACTCTATTACTACTGGTTAAGACTCAGGATTACTAGTTTTCTTTTAGTTTAGTTCATTATATTCAGAGAATATACCTTGTATGATTTTCAATTATTCATAATTTTTATTTTTATGACCAAAAAAATGTTTTTAGTCAATGCTCTTGGTGCACTTAAAAAATATATACATACATTCTATTGCTGTTGGGTGGAGTTTTCTATGAATGTTAATTGAATCCAGTTGGTTGATAGTATTTTCCAGTTCTATAACTTTGTTAATTTGCTCTTTACTTGTTCTACCAATTACTGATGAAAGAGTCTTTAAGACTCCTTTAATTTTTATTTGTCTAGTTCTATCAGTTTTTTCTTAATGTATGTTGGAGTTCCTTTTATCATTATGTAACATCCCTCATTATTCCTGGTTATTTTCCTTGTCCTGAACTCTCTTTTGTCTGATACTAATCTAGCCACTCAGCTTTCTTTTGAATAGTGTCTGTATTGCATATTCTATCCTTGTGGTTTCAAACTACTATATTGTTAAATTTATTTTTTTAAGATTTTATTCATTTATTCATGTGAGACACAGAGAGAGAGAGAGGCAGAGACACAGGCAGAGGGAGAAGCAGGCTTCACGCAGGGAGCCTGATGTGGGACTCGATCCCAGGACTCCAGGATCACACCCTGGGCCAAAGGCAGGCGCTAAACTGCTGAGCCACCCAGGGATCTCCTATATTGTTAAATTTAAAGTGAATTTATTCTCCCTCTCTCCCTCTCTCCCCGCTGCTTGTGCTTACGCTCTCTCTCTCTCAAAATAAATAAAATGAAGTCTTTAAAGTAAATTTCTTAGAGGAGCATATAGTGTTTTTTATCCATTTTGACAATTTCTGTCTTTTAATTACTGTGTTTAGATCATTTACATTTACTGCAATTATAGGTATATCATTTCACTATTAGTGTTCTGTTTGTTCTCTCTATATTTTGTTTGTTTCCACTTCCTACATTCTTTTGGATTATTTGAAATTTTGTACTCTATTTTAATGTACCTATTGGGTTTTAAAAGTATATATCTTTGCATAATTTTTACTGGCTTCACTTATTATACTGGATTATAATATAGATACTTAAGTTTTCACAATCTACTTAAAATTAATATTTTACCACTTCAAATGGAATGTAGAAATGTGATCAAAATATGGGTCCTTCTAGTCCTCCCTCTTTATGTTGCAGTTGGCATATATATTTTATATCTACATACATTGAAACCTGCATTAAACAACTCCTTTCAACTGCCATATATATATATTTTTTAAGATTTTATTTATTTATTTGAGAGAGAGAAGAAGCATGAGAGGAAGGGGCACAGGGAGAGGGAGAGAGAATCCCAAGCAGACTCTATACTGAGCACAGAGCCCAAAGCGGGGCTTGATCCCACAACCTGAGCTGAAACCAAGAGTCAGCCACCTAACCAACTGCACCACCCAGGCACCCCACAAAATATATTTTAAAGAACTTCAGGAGAATAGTCTATGACATTTACCTACATTTTTACCATTCCAGTTCCAGGTTCCTCTCTAGTGTATTTCTCTTCTACCTGAAAAATTCATCCATTGTTTCTCTTAGAGCAGGTTGCAGGTGATGAATTCCTTTAGTTTTCCATTATCAAAATGTATTTATTTCACCTTTATTAACTGAAAGATATTTTTACTGGACGTAGTCTTCTGGATTCTTTTCTCTCAGCACTTTAAAAAGGCTGTCGTAATTTCCTTCTATTTTCTATGAGAAATGCTCATTTATTCAACTTACTTTTCTTTTATATTTAAAGATTCTATTTGTTTATTTGAGAGAGAGAACATGAGTGGAGGGACAGGCAGAGGGAGAAGCAGACTCCCCACTGAGTACAGGGCTCAACACAGGGCTCTGAGGACCCTGAAATCATGACCTGAGCTGAAGTCAGACGCTTAACCAACTAACTACTCAAGCACTCCTGTCTTTAGTTTTTAGTAATTTGAATTTCATGCACCTGGATGTGATTTCTTTGAAATTATACTGTTTGGGATCCCTGGGTGGCGCAGCGGTTTGGCGCCTGCCTTTGGCCCAGGGCGCGATCCTGGAGACCCAGGATCGAATCCCACGTCGGGCTCCCGGTGCCTGGAGCCTGCTTCTCCCTCTGCCTGTGTCTCTGCGCCCCTCTCTCTCTCTCTGTGACTATCATAAATAAATAAAAAAAATTTAAAAAAAAGAAATTATCCTGTTTATGGTTCACTAAGCTTGAATATATACATGGTTCACCAAACTTGGGAAGTTTCCAGTCATTAATTCTTTCGTGGGCTTTGAAGAGGTTTTTCAAGTTTTGGGTTGTTTTGTTTTTTTTTTTTAAGATTTTAAAAAATATTTATTTAAGCAATCTCTACACCCAATGTGGGGCTCAAATTCATGACCCTGAGATCAAAAATCACATGCTCTTCTAACTGAACCAGCCAGGCACCAGTCGAGTTTTTATTTTAATCACTTGGTGCTTATCATGACAAATGCACTCCTTAATTACCATCACCTATTTCTCCCAATCCCTCCACCCAGGTCCCCTCTGGCAACCATCAATTTTCTATGGTTAAGAGTCTGTTTCTTGGTTTGTGTGTGTCTCTCTCTTTTTTCCCCTTTGTTGATTTGTTTTGTTTCTTAAATTCCACATATGAGTGAAATCATGGTATTCATGTTTCTCTGACTGACTGACTTATTTCCCTTAGCATTATACTCTCTAGCTCCAACCATGTCATAGCAAATGCCAAGCTTTCATTCTTTTTTATGGTCGAATAATATTCCGTTGTGTGTGTGTATGTCTGTATGTACATATATATATGCCACCTCGTCTTTATCCATTCATCCATCAATGTACTTTTGGGCTGCTTCCATAGCTTGGCTATTGCAAATAAGCCAAGACCTGCTTGGCTTTACTGCTTGGCTGCAGTAAACATCAGGGTACATGTATCCCTTTGAATTAGTGTTTTTGTGTTCTTTGGGTGAATACCCAGTAGTGCCATTGCTGAATCATAAGGTAGTTCTATTTTTAATTTTTTGAGGAACGTCCATACTGTTTTCCACAGTAGCTGCACCAGTTTGCACTCCCACCAACAGTGCATGAGGGTTCTTTTTCCTCGACATCCTTGCCAACATCTGTCGTTTCCTGACTTGTTGATTTTAGCCATTCTGACAGGTATGAGGTGATATCTCATTGTGGTTTTGATTTGTATTTCCCTGATGATAAGTGATGATGAGCATCTATTCATCTGTCTGTTAGCCATCTATATGTCTTCTTTGGAGAAATGTCTGTTCATGTCATCTATCCATTTTTTAAGTGGATTATTTGCTTTTTGGGTGTTGAGTTGCATAAATTCTTTACACATTTTGAATGTTAACCCTTTACCAGATATGTCATTTACAAATGTCTTCTCCCATTCAACAGGCTGCCTTTTAGTTTTGTTGATTGTTTCCTTCACCTTAGAGAAGCTTTTTATTTTGATGTAATCCCAATAGTTTATTATTGCTTTTGATTCCCTTGCCTCAGAGGAGTTTTATAGAAAAAAGTTGCCATGGTAGATGTTGGAGAAATTCTGCCTGTGCTCTCCTCTAGGGTTTTTTTGATTTCAGGTTTCACATTAGGCCTTTAATCCATTTTGGTTTTTTTTTTTTTTAAAGATTGTATTTATTTATTCATGAGAGATACAGAGAGAGGCAGAGACATAGGGAGAGGGAGAAGCAGGCTCCATGCAGGGAGCGTGATGTGGGACTCATTTCCAGAACTCCAGGATCACGCCCCTAGCTGAAGGCACACGCTTAACTGCTGAGCCACCCAGGCGTCCCTCCTGTAATCCACTTTGAATTTATCTTCATGCATGGTATAAGCAAGTGGTCCATTTCATTCTGTTGCATGTTGCTGTCCAGTTTTCCCAACACCACTTATTGAAGAGATTGTCTTTTTCCCTTTTCATATTCTTGCATCCTTTGTCAAAGATTAATTGACCATATAATGTGGGTTTATTCCTGGATTTTCTATTGTGTCCCATTGATCAGTGTGTCTATTTCTGTGCCATCACCACTGTTTTGATTACTATTTTGTGAAATAACTTTAAATCTGAAATTGTGATGCTTCCAGCTTCGCTTTGCTTTTTCAAGATTCCTTTGGGTATTCAGGGTATTTTTTGGTTCCATACAAATTTTAGGATTGCTTGTTCAAGTTCCATAAAAAATGCTGTTGGTATTTTGATAGGGATTGGATTAAATGTATAGATTGCTTTGGGTAGTATAGACATTTTAACAATATTTGTTCTTCCAATCCATGAGCATGGAAAATCTTACCATTTCTAAAAATGTAAAATGCTTCATGATTTTACATGTCATCCTTGCATAGAGTCCATGCTAATCTTCTCTGTATTGCTCCAATTTTAGTATGTGTGCTACCAAAGAGCACCTAGCCATTAACTCTTTAAACATTTTTCTCTTATCACATTCTTTCAGTTATCTTTCTGGAATTCTGATAACATTGAAGTTAGATCTTTTGGTGTTACCCTATAAGTTCCTGAAGCTCTGTTTATCTTTCAACATTTTTTTTTTAGTTGTTGTTCAGAATGGATATTTTAATGGAACAATTTGTCATCCGGATTTTGCTATTGAATCCAACCAATGAATTTTTCAAATTTTCAGTTTTTGTATGTTTTTAGTTCTAAAATTTTCATTTTGTTCTTCACTTGAGATCTTCCATTTATTTGCTGAGACTCTTTAGACTTCCATTTATTACACTTCTTGGAGCACTGTTATCATACCTATTTTTAAGTCTTTGATAATTCCAACATATATGTCTTGTGGGCATCTATTGATTACCTTCTCCCTTGAAAGTTAAAATTTTCTTTGTTGTGTGCTGAATAATTTTAGATTTTAATGTAGACATTTTGAATATTATGTATGAAACTTGGGTCTACCTTAAATCCTCAGGAGAATGTTGATATTTTTGTTGTAGAAGGCAGTCAACCTATTCAGGTTGCAAGTTTCAATCTGTATTCTAGGAATTGTGGTTCCAATGTCAGTTCAGTTTTCAAAGCTTTTACAGTGTTTTTTTTTTTTTAAGATTTTATGTATTTATTCATGAGAGACACAGAGAGAGAGAGGCAGAGACACACACAGAGGGATAAGCAGGTTCCCTGAAGGAAGCCCAATGTGGGACTTAATCCCAGAACTCCGGGATCACACCCTGAGCCAAAGATGCTCAACTGCTGAACCACCCAAATGTCCCAACTTATTCAGTGTTATTCTAAACTGTCCCACATGTGCACCACCTATTGGCCAATCTAGGACCTGAGCAGTGGTCTATTCCATAGTTCAGTTCTCAAAGCCTTTGGTACTGTGTAGGGTCAGGTCGACACATCACAGCCCACAAGTGAGCCTGGGATTCCATACACCACTTTATGTATCACTCTCTTGAGCTCCCTTCTTGTCACATTTGCTGTGACATTTCTAGTTCCCTGAAGGCCTTCTTTCAGTTCTATGTCCAGAAAGCCAGGGCTTTAGTTTCCATTATCTCCCATGCACTTCCCATGACTATCCCTACATACAAGACCAAGCAGCAGAACAGAGAGAGAAAAAAATACAATGGATAGTTGCCCCATTGGTCTTGGACCACATTTCCTCTGCTCAGAGATTACTCTCATTCAGTGTTTTAGATACCTGCCTTTTCACCACTATCTGAGGGTAAATTGGTTCTGAGAATGAAAGTGTTACTGAAAAGAAATTTGTGCCATATCTTCATATCTTGTATAACAGCTTTACTTATTTTTTAGGGCAGATTGCAGTTATATTATGGATAATCAAATCTCCAAATAAGTTTTCTATAATAATAGGAATTACTTTTATAATCATAAATAATAAATATTACTTGAAAATAAAATAGCTATACACATTGTTAAGAAGCTTCTCCTAACTCTGTAATGCTGGTTTAATGTGATTGCTGAAGTCATAGGCACATACCACCACTGTTCTGACACAGAATCCTTTTTTTTTAAAGTAGGCTCTACATCCAACGTGGGGCTCGAACTTATGATTCCGAGATTAAGAATTGCATGCTCTAACGACTGAGCCAGACAGGCACCCCGTTCCCACACAGAAACCTCAATTTTTAAAGCTTGGCTGAGTTCCAGTCACAGCAAAGCAATCAAAAGAGCCTTCTAACTTGGGAAAATTCCATGTTCTCTTTGTTCTCATCTTATTGTGGCTGTTCACAATGAGAGATAAAAAGGTCAGGACTTTGGCTTTCAAAAACCAACGTGGACATATCAAGATAAATACAGTCCTGAACTCATTTGCATAAATGAATCTCTAGTCAATTCTTCAGGACAGAAGATGTCCTTGAGGGCAGTCCGCCATGAGCTTGAAATTATTATCATAGAATTCATGTTTAACTGCTTCCTCTTTCCCATTCATGGTTGAAGTTCAATGGGTCAGAGATAGGTAAACAGTTAATGGTTTGATGTTACGGAAACTGAATAATGAAAGTTCACATATTGAGAAGGAGGAATATGATATCAGAAAAAAATGTTCCTCCCTTTAATAAAGAAACTATAATTAGAGGAAGACCATTAAACTAGTCACTTGACTTGACAGCAACTGGGATTCACCCCCCCCCCCAGACACTTTGTTATAAGGGTCTGTGTTGATGAGAAAACTAAGAGATATGGAATATCACCTATGGCAAATAAAATAAATAAAAATATTGAAATAAACAAATGAAATCTTTAGTCAATTCTGTCTTGGCCACAAGAGTAGTATTGTTATCACAGATTCCAGGTAATAGTCACAATATATGTGAAAAGTGACTAAACTCTAGGAACAGGAAGCAGATCAGTATTTGCCAGGAGCTGGAGGTCACAGAAGGAGCTGATCTTAAGAAATACAGGGAAATATTTGGAATGATGGAACTGTTCCATAATTGAATTATAGTGTACTTTACGCTTTTTCAAAACTTGCAGGGTGAATCTTACTGTCCTTAAATTGTATCTTAATAAAATACTGTATGTGCCTGGCAGATAGTAGGTAGTCAACAAGAGAAACAGAGAAATAAGTTTTTGCTTTAGAGGATGAGTTATGTTCTAGAAAATGGAAAGAATATGAGGGCCAGTCCATAAACTTCATACTCATACCTTGAAAAGCCAATGTGATCAGTGTAACAAAAGTTGGAATGCCTATAAACCTTGTTTCTATCATTCTCCATTGATAAGATACAGGAATAGGGTTTTAAAAAGGTAGCAACTGGGCAGGCCTTGTCAGGTCTCTCCAGTTTGGAGGTAGAAAAAGCAATTTATAAGTAAAATGACTCAGCAGAAGTGTATTTAATGGGCCTTTAAACCCTAGGACTGACAGTTGCATAGTGGTGACAACACTCTAGGTCAAAGTCACATTAGCCAGTAACATTTGAATAAATGAAGCATGAGGCTTTCCCACAACTCTCAGGTACTTTGAAATATGTGCTTCCACAGATATGTGACTGGGAAAGGGACAGAGCATGAGGTACGTGGCAGCCACTGAAGTGGACAGAAGTGAAATAGGGTCAAACAATGGGGTATTTTCTAAGCTCAAGTTTTTGGCATGCTATAGATTTATTCACTACTAACAATGGTAAAGAGTTAACATTTCTTGAGTTCTTACATACAATGTCCAGAAATTTGCCAAATGTTTTACATTTATTGCTCACAATAATCTATTACTATAGGTTTTATTATTGCCTCCATTTTACAGATAAAAGAACTGAGGCTAGGATGTTGAGTCACTTGCCCAAAGTCACAAGGTAGATGGGTATAGCAGAACTGGGATTGAAATACAGCCTCTCGGGATCCCTGGGTGGCGCAGCGGTTTGGCGCCTGCCTTTGGCCCAGGGCGCAATCCTGGAGACACAGGATCGAATCCCACATCAGGCTCCCGGTGCATGGAGCCTGCTTCTCCCTCTGCCTGTGTCTCTGTCTCTCTCTCTCTCTCTCTCTCTGTGACTATCATAAATAAATAAAAAAAAATTTAAAAAGAAATACAGCCTCTCAAAATCTAAACTTCTTCATCCTAATCACTGTCCTACAATTGACTATTTGCTCACAACAAATGCTTTTTATTGGGTCTTCTAATAGCAATAGAGTATTTATTGAAGAAAAAATATTCCTTCCTTTTATAAATTGCTATTGTAGAAAGAGTTTGTGAAGAAGGACAGATATATTGAAAATTCAAGATATTTTAGATTTTTTAAATTATTTTTTTAGAGAGAGAGAGAGCACAAGTGGGAGGGGCAGAGGGCATGGGAGAGAGAATCTCAAGTAGACTTTGTGCTGAGCACAGAGCCAGAGACAGGGCTCCCTTTCACGACCCTGAGATCACCACCTGAGCTGAAACTAAGAGTCAGCCCCTTAACAGACTATGCCACCCAGGCACCCCTTAGATTTTTAAATGAGAGCCTGAGAGCTTCTGTCTTTAGTCTGAAGCTTAAATATGACTCTATTTCTATGGGGAAAATAGCAAATCTTTGTGGAGATTGGCAACATTCTGCTGAAAGTCCTGAGGCCTGTACTTCTAACCTTAATGCAGAGCGCCTTGACCTTGTCCTGAAACACCATTTTATAAGGCACAGCTTATAAAAATGGGATAGAATAAGCCAGAGCCTTGAATGATAGCTGAGCAGATATTGAGGTAAAGAACTCCACATGAGTCTTAGTCTAAGTTGAAGCCAACATCTGGTAATCAAATTCTCTATTTCTTAAGACTGACAATGATCCTACACTTCTTGAAGCCAATACATGGAATAAATAAAGTCTCATAAGCATCCAGAACACAAAACTTTCATTATATGATAGTTTAACTTTGATGAAAGAAAAGTTCTGAAGAATCAGGGCTACTTTTCTTTGTTCAGGAAAAATTAGAATTCATTTCAGAAACTCTACTTTTCCTGTTAGAAGGACTGTGTTGAATTTAAACATACCATGAATCATTCAATAAAACTGTTCTTACCTTTCCAGAAGATAGTAGAACTAGAGTCTATGGTTATTTCATTTATTGTCTAATAACATATAAGATTTATTATTTATACCAAATTTTTTAGCTCTTGAATATATGCAGCTTAAATACTTCATTTATACTATTCTTTAATTTTCCCATCTTCATTGATCTGGCCTTCTTAAGCTCTTTTTGGAAGGAAGAATGAAACTTTTCTTCTGCAGTGAACCATATAAATATTCACATTAAATGCAATAAGTACTATGACTAGTCAGTTCAAGTCAAACTTTACTATAAATCAGATACAAAAGAGCTTTTGGGAGCACCTGGGTGGCTCAATGGTTGAGCATCTGCCTTTGGCTCAGGTCGTGATCCCGGGATCCTGGGATAGAGTCCCATATCAGGCTCCTTGCATGGAGCCTCCTTCTCCCTCTCTCTATGTCTCTGCCT